GACTTTGACTTTGACGTCTTCCTTTGGACCGTTTATTCTTTGACGACGGTCGCTCTTCCTTCTCATCGGCATTATCTTCACTTTTTTTGTGCCTCCTTTGAGACCTTCTCCTTCTTCTCATTCTTCGCTTCGCCTTTTCTCGCTGCCTTTTTTCCAGACGCAGCATCTCTTGGTCTTTTGTCATTGGGTTGACATTGTCGGCTGAAAAGTGCAAAATAAATGAAAGTGTTGACACACAGTTTTAAAAAACAAGCTTTACCTGAGTTGGCAGCAAAGCAGCAGTAGGCAAAAATGGCCAGTCCAGCCGCAGCCAGGTAGTAGATGTACTTGTTATTACTTGTGCTCAGTTGATCCTGAAGCTCACCATCACCTCTTTCATTTCTCTTATCCTCGTCCATTGATCGCCCCACAACGGACAGCGGCTGTCTTTGGTAGTTGTCAAAAAGGCTTGGAGGCTGCTCAACTGCTGGTGATTCTAAAACCTTGGAAACCTTCTTCTTTGGTTTGCTTTTCTTAACTGATTTTGCCTCATTTCCCAAACCATAGTGGTCATCATCCAAATCGTCAAAGTTGCTTTCGTCCAGTTCAAGATCATTGTCCCACTTGGACTGTTGCTTTTGTTGCTTCTTCTTCTTCTTTGCTTCTTTGCTTTGTGATTGCTTGTCACGCTGTTGTTGATGTTTNCAAGATCATTGTCCCACTTGGACTGTTGCTTTTGTTGCTTCTTCTTCTTCTTTGCTTCTTTGCTTTGTGATTGCTTGTCACGCTGTTGTTGATGTTTTTGTTTATCATTGGAAAACTGAAGCGGCGCCACGTGTCCTGCAGCACTTTGGTAGTTGTTCATCAGTTTGGTGAAGTTTCGGTGCAGTGCCTCCAGCTTGCTGAGCATCGTCCGGTGCAGCTGATCATCGCCGTTTTCAGTGGTGGTGGTGGCAATGGTGATCACTTCTTTTTCCTTTTCTGGATTGCGCCTAGCAGAAGCAGCAGCTGCGGCCGCCGCCGAAAGCAGCAGTCCTTGCTGTGTCTGACCCAGCAGCAGTGTCCTGCCCAGCCCGGTCAACTGGTGCTTCAACTCCATCACCGCGTTGGCCAGCTCCTGTCGATTGTTTGCCCGCAGCTCGGCCAGCTTCAGCTCAAACTCCCGCATTAGGGTTGCTGTATTTAAAAAAGTTAATTTTACGAATCAAGATAACAAACTACTGCCTACCTTTCTGCCTCTCAAAGATGGCCTGGCTACCATCAAAGGAGTTGCCAAAGTTGAAGGGAACGTCATCATTGGGGTTGACCATTCCAAACTGCCGTTTTTGACGGCTCTGACCAGTACTGCCTTGAAAGTACGCCAGCAAAAGCAGAGATACTTGAGGCAAAAGAAGCAAACGCATTGTGTAAAACTTGAGGAAGTTGAGCGAGATCAAACTGATAGGTAAAACGTTCAAAAATTCACAAATGCTCAGTGATAAAGTGCACTGTAACACTGAAACAGTTTTTTCCATACTTGTCCACAAGCATGGAGTTTCTAAGTTGAAAATTCGATTTAGTGATGTGACCTCGTTTCATCACGACTAAACATTTTTACTTTACTCATCTTTCTGAGCCAGTGTATTCTCGTTTGGTAATCTTGTTACAATGATGAACTGAATTTGTCCAAGTGCAGTGTAATCTAAAGTCGATGACGGTACATTACGCCAACACACGCACACAAACCATTTTTTCCACCCTGTTCATCGGAAGGCAAACAATTTTGTGTTCTGCACACATGCACTGCTACTGTGCATCTGCTATTTATCAAAGAGTGTCCCATTTATCAACCTCTTCTTTCCTGGAACAGCCAGTGCAGAGGCGGAGAATGGTTGCATTATTTGTACAATGTTGCTGCTAGCGGAAACACACAAACCGATGGCACATAACAAACAGGTACAGGCAAATATGTGAATGAATGAATGAGCAAGATAGTGAATGGGAGATTTTCCATTCCTGAAAATGAGGCCACCTTGCACACAAAGATAACAGAAAGTTCATAAGTAAATAACACCAAAATTTAAAAAAATTAAAACAGGAGATGTTTTAAGATCTAGAGTTCAGCGATCAATCTGAAGTTTCAGTTTTGGAATTTCAGCTGGGCGGAAAACTTTAAATCAAGGCTACTAGAGGTCGCTAAGGAGTTGGTGCTGATGCGAAAATCAGGTGATTTTCGATGCTGATTCATCAATGCAGGAAACTGGAGAGCATTCATTTTTATCGTCATCATTTTCACCGGTGAAAACGGCAAAGTTTTCACATTTCCTCATCATCATTATCCACAACAATACCAAACAGTGTCCGCTCTCTTTTGGAACTTGCATGCAATTATTGCCAACAGGCTACAAAACGTCGACTAGCTTCGCTTTGAAACACTCATAGACTTTTGGCTGATTGTTTGATTTGCATTGCTCTCTTTTGCCCCTACTCCTTTGTGACTCCTTTGCATCCCTTGTTGGTAAATCTTCCAATCTTCAGCAATCTTTGTCGACGTCATGGCTGACCAGCAGCAGCAGCAGCAGCAACGTCCACCACCACCGACCCCGGGAGGAGGCACCGGTGGTAGAACTGCCCAGCAACAAACTAGCCCGGCTGTCAGCAATGGAGCAGGCCAGCACCCGAGCGTTCCCGCTCCAAAGCCGCCACAGACCGGCGGAAATGCTGATGAAGGGCCCTCGACGCCGCTGGCCATCGCCCGCGACGCCCTCCACCGCACCGTCGCCGGCCTGATCATGACGGTGATCGCCGTCTGCGCCGTCATCGTCTGGCCGCTTGACTTCATCTACTCGATGCCCTGGCAGCGCGTCGAGCGGGCTCGCCGCCCGCGAGCCACCCGCGAGAACCTCGCCGACCACGCCTCGCCGTACTACCGCATCGGCGAGCACCAGGTCTTCTACCTGCAGGACGTGCACATCATCCCCGAGGCGCAGAAGCAGGCCCTCGCCCACCTGGAGCCGAACAAGAAGGCTCTGGGCTACCGCGAGATCACCGAGGTGCGCCAGGAGTACGGCGAGAAGGAGGCGAAGATGCTGCGCAAGTACATCATGACCGACTACAAGTGGCTGACGCTGGCGCAGGTCGACGAGCGCATCACCACCCTGGAGAAGGCCTTTCGCGAGCTGGGCGTCGACTACGGCCACCGCGTGGTCATCTACGCGGAGACTCGAATCGGTAGGTGGAGGAGGTTTTTTGCTTGATGATAATGATCTTCTATTATCTAACTACTCTTTTCCAGAATGGTTCCTCTGCGCCCACGCCGTCATCCGCACCGGCGCCGCCATCGCCACCCTCTACGCCACCCTCGGCGACGAGGGCCTCAAGTTCGGCATCGACGAGACGAAGGCCACCATTCTGGTGACCAGTGAGGAGCTGCTCGTCCGCCTGCCACGCCTTNCGCCACCCTCGGCGACGAGGGCCTCAAGTTCGGCATCGACGAGACGAAGGCCACCATTCTAGTGACCAGCGAGGAGCTGCTCGTCCGCCTGCCCCGCCTCCTCTACACCGGCATGAAGCACCTGATCTACTTTCCGACGCTGCAGAAGCCCACTCCGAAGCCGCCGGCCGCCCTCGCCGAGCTGCAGGCCGCCAACACGCAGATCAGCTTCATCAGCTACGCGGAGCTGATGGCGCTGGGCGCCCGCTCCAAGGCGCCCTCCTACAGCCTGGCCACGACGCGCATCACCCCGGAGACGCCCGCCGTCATACTCTACACCTCGGGGTCGACTGGAAAGCCAAAAGGTAGAAGGAGGAAGACTTTATTATGACAAAGATAGTTTAATCTTTTTTTCAGGCGTCGTCCTCACCCACGCCAACTTTGTGCACACCGTCAAGGCCGTCTTCACCATCATCACCGAGGAGGTGGTGGAAGCGCACGACCACCACTGCTGGTACAGCTTCCTCCCGCTGGCCCACATCCTCGAGTTCATCGCCGAGAACACCATCTTCTGCGCCGGCATCAAGATCGGCTACGGCTCGCCCTTCACCATGACCGACCTCAGCACGGGCATCATCAAGGGCCAACCGGGCGACCTGACGCTCCTCAAGCCGACCGTCATCCCCGGCGTCCCTCTGGTCCTGGAGCGCATTCGCAAGACCATCTTTGAGAAGCTGAGCAAGCGCTCTCCGGTGCTCCACTACCTCGCCCTGTGGCTCGTCGACTACAAGACCTTCTGGCTGGAGAACGGCTACCAGACGCCGGTCTTTGACTGGCTGGTGAGCACCAAGTTTCGCGCCGTCTTCGGCGGCAACGTCGAGTACATGCTGATTGGCGGGGCGCAACTGAGTCCGGACACGCAGCGCATCATGCGCGCCCTGCTCAATGTTCAGATTTTGATTGTGAGTGAAAGAAAAGAGGATTTTTTATGCGTTTTGATAACTTTAATTTTTCTTCTCTNTACAAGACCTTCTGGCTGGAGAACGGCTACCAGACGCCGGTCTTTGACTGGCTGGTGAGCACCAAGTTTCGCGCCGTCTTCGGCGGCAACGTCGAGTACATGCTGATTGGCGGGGCGCAACTGAGTCCGGACACGCAGCGCATCATGCGCGCCCTGCTTAATGTTCAGATTTTGATTGTGAGTGAAAGAAAAGAGGATTTTTTTATGCGTTTTGATAACTTTAATTTTTCCTCTCGNCAAGTTTCGCGCCGTCTTCGGAGGCAACGTCGAGTACATGCTGATTGGCGGGGCGCAACTGAGTCCGGACACGCAGCGCATCATGCGCGCCCTGCTCAATGTTCAGATTTTGATTGTGAGTGAAAGAAAAGAGGATTTTTTATGCGTTTTGATAACTTTAATTTTTCTTCTCTCCAGGGCTACGGCTCCACCGAGACCTGCGGCGCCAACATGGTCATGGACCTGGAGGACCTGAGCATCGGCTGGACCGGTGCCCCGCTCTTCGGCATCAAAATTCGCCTCGTCGACTGGCCCGAGGGCGGCTACACGCACGCCGATAAGCCCTATCCGCGCGGTGAGCTGCACGTCGGCGGCCAGGCCGTCTCCCCGGGCTACTTTGAGCAGGAGGAGCAGACGAAGGAGGCCTTCTACCGCGACGAGAAGGGCGTCCAGTGGTTCCGCACGGGCGACATTGTGGAGGTGAACGCCGCCGGCCTGGTGCACATCATCGACCGCCGCAAGGACCTGGTGAAGATGCAGCACGGCGAGTACATCTCACTCGGAAAGGTGAGAACTACAAGTGGGAACTCCTTATTTGCATCTCTAACTCCTTGTTTCTTTGTTAGATTGAATCCGAGCTCAAAAACTGCCTGATCGTGGACAACGTCTGCGTGCACGCCGACTCGAAGCACCCCTTCGTCGTCGCCCTGATCATGCCCAACTGGAAGGTGGTGAAGGGCCTGGCCGCCGTCTACCTCGCCGAGCAGGAGGAGAAGGCCAAGGGCGGCTCGTCGCCCAGCGGCGGATCCGCCCCCAACGCCGAAACTCGCAGCATGATCGTCCGCACCGCCAGCCAGATGGAGCCGGACACGGTGGAGAAGGTGCGCACTGAGCCGGCCTTCGTCGCCAAGGTGCTCGCCGAGCTGCAGGACTTCTGCCGGAAGGAGACGACGCTGAGTCGCCTGGAGACGCCGGCGCGCATCTACCTCTGCAAGGAGGAGTGGAGTCCCGCCAATGAGCTGCTCACGGCGGCGCTCAAGATTAAGCGCTTCCAGATTCTCCACTTTTACGCCGACCAGGTGGCCGCCATGTACGCCTCGGCCGAGTAAAAAATCCTGCTGAGTGCGAGCGCTCTTTTGCTTTTTGCAGCACCGCCGCCGGCTCTCTATCTATCTTTTAGAAGCTCAGGAACTTGTTTTAATTTTTCTTCCTCTCATTTCTCACTTCC